TAAAGTTTGTTTTAAGTTTGTTGATTAAAGTACACAAATTATATAATATTTTTGACTATAGAGGTGATATTTGGTTATTAAATGTGGTAAGAGCAATATATTTTCAAAACTAAGTAAGTAATGCATGAGAATAAATACAATACTAGTTTTAACACTGATGTTGTTTTAGTAGTTTAATGTGTAGATGTATAGAGAATGTATGTGGGGATGTAAATGCATATGTTTTATAATTTTCAGTGAATGTTGGATAGATTGAATTATGCAATGGGAAATACAAATCTAAAAATGTATATATGGATCAGCTGTATATAACTTTTGTAGCTGCGACCGGAAAGATAAATTGAACATTTACAAAATTATTCCTTTATTTATTAGATTTCTACCCTGTCTTTCACTCAAGATTTCAAGATAGACTTACTCAGTATTTCTTCTTTTATATTTTTTTCTCCAAAATAATAGCCCTGTGAATAAAAATTGGTTAAGAAGGAATAATTGGCCATAATCATTCAAGGAACTTGTGAGGATGAACTAGAACACGGGTATCAAACTCATGGCATCACGTTGCTGTCATGTGATGTTTTGCAACATCTTCCCCATTCGCGGAGCTTGAGTGGGCGTGGCCTGCACATGATGCATCTGGACGCCAGTTTGACACCCCTGAACTAGAACACATTTCTCAATTCTTAGTCCAACATTTTTTAATTGGTTTTATGATTGCTGTGAGCCAACCAGAGTTGGGCAGCCATATAAATTGAATGAATGAATGAATGAATCAATCAATCCTTTAATAGGTAATAGATTACCTATTACCTATATAGGTAATCTTCAACTTATGACCACAATTGAGCCCAAAATTTATCCTGTTAAGTGAGAAATTTGTTAAATGAATGTGCCCCTTTTGACAATTTTTCTCACCACATTTATTAAGTGAATCACTGCAGTTCTTAAATTAATAACATGGTTGTTAAGTGAATCTGTTTTCCCTGCATTGATTTTACTTGCCAGAAGTTCGCAAAAGGGGATCGCATAATGCTGGGACAATGCAACCGTCATAAATGTGAGTCAGGTGTCAAGCATCCAAATGTAAATCACCTGACCATAGGGATACTGAAACGGTCATAAGTGTGAGCAATGGTCATAAGTCACTTTTTTTGCTGCTGTTGTAACTTTGGTCACTAAATGAACTGTTGTCAATGGAGGACTACCTATATTCTCATTTGATCTATACATAAGTAATGAAGAATAGAGAATCGTAGTGGTGAAACTGATCCTGTTTTTGGTATCACTTTTTTCCCCCATGATGGTTAACAAAGGTTACAATTTTTTGCAGCTGTCTCCTTGAAAAAAGAGCCTGTAGCAATCAGGGTAGAAGCCTGTGCTATTGTTTAAAAAAAAAAAAAAGTGGGAGAGTCTGCAAAGTGTTTGTGTGAATTGTGTGCTGTGCAGAGCGTCCAAGCAACTTGGAAACAGTGGAGGAGAGGAAAGCTTTTGGCAAATATAATAAAGAAGCTTTTGGTGGGCGGGGAGGTCTTAATGATGGCAGAAGCCCAGTCAGGTATTGCCTAAGTTTGAGTATTTTGTGTGAGTACTTCAAAAGTTTCAGGGTATCAGGAACTCTCAGGGCTTGTGTCACAGAGAGACGACTAAGCCAAAAGTATAAGGAAGGGAGAGAAAGGGGTTATTCTCTCCCACTTTGGGAATGCCAAGTTAATTACTGTAGAAGAGCCAGATGAGGAGTCTGAATTACAACCAATCAACATCTAGACATGCCTTCACCACCCCAGTCATCACCCTATTAAAAGGGGACAGAAGGCAGCTCACCCTCTAGCCTGGCAAAGCAGCTGTGACAGTAAAGGACCAAGCATGAGTGTGGCTTCTAAAGTGTCGAGCAAGAGTAGATCAGAAAGGTTCAAGCTGGAGCAGGCTAAAGAGGAGACCTCATGTTAGAAAGCTAAAGCTGGAAGAGCTAGTAGAGGTGGAACAAGAAGCAAATGTGGCAAAAAGCCACTACAGGATGGTTGAACTCAGGTTAAAAAGCTGACAACAGTAAAGGCAGGCAGGAGTGGTTGTTGATAGCATCAATAATTGGGACCAGGGTACAGCTAAAACTTAAAATACAAATTTTTATAGAGTTTGCAGGCTAGAAATGTGAGAATATTAGACTCTTACATAAAATAAGCAGGTCGGTAAGAATGGGAAATAATTAAGAATAGTAAAATATGGTTAGATTCGAGACTGGAAGTAAATTAGGAACATAGAACAGTTTGGAAGATTAAGCCTCTAAAAATAGTAAAGCCAGGGTAGAAATATTGATTGTAAATTAGAAAGAATTATTCTTTCTTTTGTAATAAAAACAACATTTCTCTGTTACTCCCAAACGACTGTGACCTAAATAAAAAAAGTGACTAAGCAATATGAAAACAGTTTACAGAACTGTGCTGGTCATTTAGTGAGATTGAATAAAGATAAACTTTTAGAATGAATATATGAAGGAAGAGCGAATGGCATATAAGAAAAAAGAAATCGTTAGGTGAAACTGATAAGATTCTGAAAAAGAGGATAGGCCTTTAAAAAAAAACCCAAAGCAATCTATGGATATGATTAAAAGATAGTTTCCAAGGACTGGAATATATCAAAATGTGCAGTGGTATAAATATGCATTGGTGTAAATTTGGTTAACCATATCCTCCTCCTTTTCTTGGCTTTGCATAACATTTTGTTTTTTGCCCAGAAAGTAACATAACAGTTCTTACCTTGCCTCTCCTGGCTATCTGTGGAGTTGTAGTAGTTTGCTTGATCTGTGAGATTAATAATGCCTCATTATGAGAAGGAAGGTTGCTATTGGCCTTGAAAGAGGCTACACAGTGTGCCTTCTCCTTAAGAGAACCTTCCTGGGTTGAGAGGTGTTAGGAATTATTACTTGATCTCCAACCTTCCCCTTTTTGATTTCTATGGTAGATTCCCTTTATAGGGATCTAGATGAGGGTAGTTCACCCACCCTTGTTCCTTTACATCTCTTTTGATACAGTCAATCATGATATCCTTCTATACCACCAAAGTGATGTTGCTTCTTCTGCTGCATTCATGGTGCTGGGAGAGGACGGGTTGGACCAGTGGCTGCTCCTTACAAGTTTGGTCCTCTCCGCTATTTAACTTCGTCATGAAGCCACTGTCATGAAGCCACTGAAATAAGTCTAACAAGGCCTGATTGGCGATGTTTTTGATGTTCTGCTGGAGGCAATGAGGGTCCTAATATTTAAACTGAACCCTAGGAAGATGAACTTATATGAGGCTCTCTGCTTCACTGGTGTCTCTTCATGGGATGGAATACCCCTGACTCGAGGGTTCATTTGTATTTGTGGGAATTTTTCTGAATGTGATCTCACTGAAGCCAGTTCCTGTCCAGAAAGAAAATAAAAAGATTAGTTTGGTTCCGGAGGGACTGCGAAAATCTCCTAGTTGCTCTGGGTGAATAAGGCTTCTTTGAAGAGGTGTATTAAAGTGTTAAATTCAAACAACAGGACTGCAGCATGCTTCAATGTGAACTGTCTCGGGTCATTTCTCCACTAACAATTTATCATATCTTGTGGATGATTGGAGTCCATAACCAACTCAATCAAAAAGAATCCTGAAATGCACCTTTTATCTTTCTTAAGAAGCACTTGGTGAGAAAGGAAAAGAACAAGGATGTAGAGAGGATGTAGCTACAGAATACCAATTTAGAAATCAGAACAGGAATCATAGCGAAAAGAGGGAATTTATTAGAATTTTGTTTTTTTAGAATAGCATTGGGAAGAGAGAAATCATCTTAAATTTGGCTCCTTAAATTTCTGCTGTTTTGTTTGTTAACAGAAGATCAGGCTGTACTTGCATTTTGGTTTGGGGATGAGCGAAAGAGTCGGTGATTTCATGGTGTGGTTTGGAGTTAATTGCATTTGTTTGGGGAAAATGGTGTTATCAGCCACCACAGAGTTTTCTAACAAGTTGTGCCCCTGAGAACAACTAAGTGGATCATAATGTCCGTTGTGCGGCAGATATGTCGAACCTCCCTACAGGTCTTCAGCTGTGATACAACAATAACTCCAAACCCATTAGATAACCCGGATATTGCTGCTATCACTCAGACTAATCTTGCAAATATAGCTCAGCTAGTAAATACTTTATTAGTTTCAGCAACCCATTTAGAGATAATAACTTGTGGAGCCTTTGTAGGGTTTTAATGTATTTGAAATGTTAACTATAACTTCTACCTCTAGCTATAATAAAACATAACGATCAAGGGAGATGTAGCAAATTTTGAGTGGGTTTGCCACAAAGAACTGGATTGCGAACATTCTGAGCACATCTCTTCTAGGCAAAGAAGAATAATTTTATCCTGTTAGGGTTGCAGCCATTATTGAAACAAGGTTTTCTTTCTTTTTTCTTTTCTCTCTCTCTACAGTTCTCTACAGTTTGTTGATGACAGTGCTTGATCAAGCTTGGGCTTTCATGTGTACTATAAGAAATTTTGGATTCTGTAATCTATGTATAAAATTTTCCTGTGATGTTAAAGCATGGCTGATTATATTTCTTCTGCATATCGCACATATATGTAATTCAGCAGAACTATTTTATGGTGTTCCCTTCGCTGTTTTACATATAGAAAAACGTGTACACACATTAGGAAGAATTTTTTATTTGCTCCCCCCTCCTTTATAAAATGTTGATAAGACGGTTGTCATGGCAACCATACAAATTTCACCTGTACTTTGTTGCTGAGTTCACAGTGTCATTTTTAATTACTGCTATGCAATTAAAAGCAAAAATGAGTAATTTGTGTGAATATGTAATCAATATAATCAGCTATGTTTGCACTGAGAATGAATGCAGGCAATTTAGCCCACTAGAAAGGGGGATTTGCCCAACGCTACTTTTTGGATTTGGAAATGCTACTTTTTATGCAGAGTCCTCTGTTTGCCTTATATTGCTTTATGTTATTATTATTACTATTATTATTGCAGAACTGTGAGAAACTGGAAAATAATTTTGATGACATCAAGCACACGACTCTGGGTGAGCGTGGAGCCCTTCGAGAAGCAATGAGGTAAGTCTGGGTCACCATAGCAACAGTCACAGATGTGGTAAAGAAAGAGTCATTCTTCATTACTGTGGGAACAAATGAGTTCATTGCCACCATTCAGGCCTATTTTCTAAGGTATTAATTTGTCAGCGGAGAGGCTTCCCTTGAGGCTGTACTTCGGTTTTGAAGCTGTGTGAATGCTAAGTCTCCCTACACACTAAAAAACGTAAATGTTTAATTTGTTATGAAAAATGCTTAAGGGGTGCATTGTTTTATATTTAGAATAAACTGTGTGAATGAAAGAAAATTCTTCATCTAAATTGTGCAAGTATTAAGGAAATTGTTAAAAAAAAAAACTTAGGCGGCATTTGCTCTTAATTTGTATTTAATTCTCACCAAATAGCAGCCTGTATAATTTCTTCTTCTATTAGTCTTTAATGGGATTATACCACTGTATGTTAAAATGAATGACCTCCTTCTTAAAAAGGGGGGAGGGTGTTCGTTTTCAACTTTGGGAACCCATGGCTTCTCACAGTTCTATTATTCACTCAAATCCCTCATGCCCAGGGGTAGGTGGTAAGATTGCAGTCTTGCTATACAGTCCTGCACAGATGCTCACCATATTTATTGGTGCAAATGTTTACAATAGCAGGATTTCCCCCCCTGTTTTTATAATTTAGGGGATGGTGTAGATTTCCTATTTTAAGAATGTATGAAAAACAGAAAAAATGTGTCAAGTTTAAGAGAAAAATCTAATATTTTGCACTGATGTTATTCTGGTAGAATTAGCTGCACTCATTTTAAAATAATTCCAGCCGCCTCTGTAACTGATTCGATAGTAATGCTGTACTTAAATCATTTTAAAGTTTTACTGAACATCCTCCTGTTAAAATATCTGCTTTTTCTTCTTCCTAATAGAGCGTTTTGTTTAGTTTGAATGATTGGGGTAGATAGCATCAGATTTAGAAGCAATAGGGCTTCTTTTAAACCTGATTTGAGTTTTACAGCAGGCCTTAGAAGCCATTCAAGTCTTTTTCTCCCTAAATATTAAAAAAAAATGTTTGGTGTCATATTAAGTTCAGCAAACTATATGAGAACTACACTTAAGCTTAGGAGAAAAGCAGGGACTGATAGTAAAATAAATGAATAAGATCAGATCTGCATATTCTGAATCGAGCTGTTTGGCTATGGGAAGAACTTGACACATAATTTGGAGATCTCCAAACATGTTTCCAGCATTTCTTAGCATTTAATTTGCTATGTTTGGAAATTCCTGAATTATATTTGAGAAGTATTTGTTTACTTTGAAGCTAATTTGAAAATTTGAGATGTAATGATTAATTCTGGTTGAGCATCAAATGAGCATACAAATCACAAGAGAATCTAGCAATCAGAAAAGCAGCTTTTAGAAAACATTTACAGTACGATTGTTTGGCACCTATTTTTACTTACTGGTATTAATAGAAAAATTAAGTAAGTTCAGATGGTTGAAATGCTACTTCGTAGCTGCTTATAAATACAATTTTATTTTCTTCCATGAAAAATAAAAAAATAGAAAACTTTTTATTCCGCCCTAAAGGTGCAATTTCTGACATTAATATGGTAATTATTTTAGAACTTCCTTTATATTTTGTTGTCTCGTGAAAAGAGAAACATTGAGTTGCTCAATGATCAATGTCTTGTACAAGTAATCAGTAATGGGGAAAAACAGGTTGCAAGATTTTTGACAGCTGCATTGGTTATTCTCACAAAGCGGGGAATGTGCATTTTAGAATATATGTTCATCCACAGCGCATAAACTTGTGCTGTAGTTGTAATCTGGCAATTCATTTTTTTGAGGACTGGGGGAATAACAAAGGGAAAAAGTAAATGCACAGAAATTATTCATAAGGCTACCATGTTTTTCTGGCAGGAAAGCAAATGTTTTAATTGCCGTGGAACATAAAAAGCATTTTTATTATTTTGGTCTGAATGTTTCCTTGCTCTGGTTCTGTACAACAATGCATTTGAAGGCAAAAGGATCCTGTGCTTTAAGCAGTTTAAGGAAAGAGTTTAAGTATAACTCCTTCATAACCTCTTTGGTCCAAAAGTCATCTATTTGCTTAAAAACCATAAAAACTTCATATAATAAATGTAGCAGGTTTTAAGTTCACAACAGGACACACTTTCTAAGGGTTTTTCCCCCATTATTTTGCTCTTAATGTTTTTCAGTCAGACTCAACTGAGAAATATCTCTTGCAATTTTACTTAAATAGAGTTTAATAATTTACAAAAAATTATTCAATTGTACTGCAGTACAAGAATTTTGCCCAACTCTAACTGGAAACACTGGTGGTTATATCCTTGTGAGTCACCATCATATATTGACAAACTGAATTTATAAAGTGTAACAGGATGCAATACCGACAAAAGAAGTTCTAAAGCATTAAAAGACTTATGCTTTATTAGTAGACCTGCAATATTTATGTCGTATTAATTGCACTTATACAGCCTTTCTATGGGCTGCTAATATAACATCATGCATATGGTAGAATGCTTGTGTGCTTTGTTTTCTGATCTGCTGTTTAAAAACATAGACAAGGTAGTTAATGTAGCTTTCAGATAGAGAACAAGGCAGTTTCATTTGAGTAATAATTCATAGTCAACATATTCCACAATGGTAGCTGTCTCTAGGGCTTTAAAACGTAATAGCACTGTCTTAAGTATATTTAAAGTATAAATCAAGAAGCCCATGAAAGTCTTGTTTTGAGCTTGATTGCAGGATTGATATTTGATGAAATCATCTCCTTTATCCACTGGTGACAAAGAATGTTTATGTCAAGTTGTTTTTCCAACTTTTATAAGGCTTATAAGATTCTATAGGCTTAGGTGGTGTTATATTGTCTGAGAGTTCATCTGTAATTTCTTGTGGTTTTTTTTCAGTTGGGAATTTTAATTTACTTTGTGAGCTACAGAGATAAATTGGAGAGCAAGCTTTTCTCCTTGGAGAATACTATAGCGAAGGGGGATTATGGGAGTGTAGAGAGATATGATTTCCCCTGAACATTCCTTCAATCACTTGTCTCAAATAAACCAAAATTGTTTAATTTTAACTGACCTAAGGTTACATATTATACATGGTCAGACCTGCCAGTTATAAACTACTGCGTTCCGTCGAAGTGCCCATTGAAGTGTGCCTCAACTTGCAGACAATATGTATAGCAATTGCACTGGTCAAAATAAAAGGAAATCTAACTGGCCAGTCCCTAGGACTCAACTAACATGGGAACTGATGTATTAACTAATAATAATGGATTTTAACACTGGATTTTAAAATTTATTTTACCTTGGCATTTTTCTGCATTACCTGACATAAAAAAAATTGCATTTTTTTTCCACATTTGCATATTTTGCTAGGTGCTGCATATATTTCGCAGAATTGCCATTTTGTGTTGCTAGTAAAACCAGCTGGTTTGTTCTCTAATAATTATTGCCATTGATATTGCTGAATTTAGTAATGAAATTGAATATTTATTCTGATATGGACAAAATGCTGGAAATACCTATAAAATGTATTTTCTTGCAGATTGCTTAGAAAATCTTAAATTGCAATCTTTAAAGGGAGAATATTTGTAGCTCAGGATTGAAATGAGGGGTCCTTAGTGCTCTCTAAGCTTAGGTGTTTTCTTGTAGACATTTCATTGCCCAAATTAGGTAACAAGATGCAACAACCAAGCTCAGAGAGCACCAAGAACCTGTGGTTGAATTTTTTTCCTGCAAAGAAGATGAAGTATGAAATTCTACAATTTATTTGCTATGTCTTCTTTTTCTTTTTAGATTGCAGTCCTATGGTAAGTTTGCAAGCAAACCAATAGAGGATTGTGCTGTTCATTTTTCTTTTTGAGCTTTATACTTTTTTTATATTTCACTTGAATAGTAAGTTATTTTCAAGGCCTTAAAGTTCTTTCTCTAAAACACATTAAATATTGTTTCCATGTTGGGATTTGAATGTTCATCGGTGCAAGTGAAACTAACACAATGTTTTTATACTTATAAATATGTGCTTTTATCAGTGCTTCCTTCATAAGCACTTTATAATTCCTTAGTATCTTTTCTCATTGCCTAAATCTTCGACAGAAATTTTTCATTAGTCAATTCTATTAATGAAAAATCTCCAACAATATTAATTAATCCTTCTTTCAGGTTCTGCTGTTTCCTTTGCTTCCTGGGTCATAAGTATGATGAATCGACTTTAATATTTTTGTGTAACATATAGAGGAAATTAATTGGTTATTTTCTTTAAAAATAAAAAAAAATACTACTGTTTAAAAGAAAAAAGAAAAGAAAAACACAATTAGTTAAATGTATTATATAAATCCCCTCCTCCCCCTGGATTATTTCTATTATAGAAGAATTCATTCTTGAAGCTTCCGTTCTGCTGAACTAGAAACAATTAAAGGAAAAGAAGTTATATGGATAAAGTTGTTTAATTAAACAATAATCCTTCAAGCAGAGTCTTCCACGACGTGGTGAAGTTCTGGAGTACTTTTTCTGTTATTCACAGCCAGTTAGTTATAGTCAACCACATCTGAAAAATGCCAAAATTAGGACAACTTAAAACTTTGTTGGATCAGCTATATTTCCAAATAAATTCTATTTTATTATTTTTGAAACATTGTGTTAAACTAAGGGGGAGAAAAGTCAAATAACTGAGAAATTGCACTTTGCACTGATTAATAATGGATTTTCTGTAAAAGTGGTATTTGAGATAGCCAGGCCTTATGCCATAAAGGGCTTTAAAGTGATAACCAGAACCTTGAATTATACCTGGAAGTGATCAAATAACCAATGTACTCTGCAGAGCAACAGGGTCATGTGAGTATAAGACACACTGCTGATGTCTCTGCTTTCTAGACTAGCGCTAACTTCTCAATGGTTTTCTAGCCAAGCCCCTGTAGAGTACATTACAGTATTCCAAACATGAGGTGACCAAGGCATGAGTGATTGTCTTTGTTCAGGAAGGGGTGCGGTTGGCATACCAGATT